ATTATTCCTGCAGAGTATCGAATCACAGGTATAGCCCAGGTATTTAAGGCTTTTATGATGTTTCCTCCATTCAATTAACATCAGAAATAACAAGTAACAAAAAAGGATAGAGATGGCAAAATAAGATGGGTAGAAAGCAAAAAAAAACAACCCATCTGGGTTAAAAGGATGCCTTGCTCAACCTTGCCAAAGGAAGAGTCAGGTTTTTAGGACTCTCCAAAACACCAGCAGGATGGGGGATTATCCGGATCTTGTGGGGCAGATCTGTTCCAGAGGGCAGGCTCTGCTACAGAGTAGATGCACTTCCAGAATCCCAATAAGTGACATTGTTTAAGTGATGGAACCCAGAAAGCTCCAGTTCTGAAGGATTGAATCAGCTTGTTAGCCATCAATCAGGGTCTTTGCCCCTGGTCAAAATAGCAAGCAAACCAGAAAGGTAGATTAATATCTGTTTATTTATGCATAAATACATTTTAACTACAAGACCCTTAGAAAAGGAAGAAATCACTTTATGCTGTATGCAGAATAACAGACTTGGAAGATGCCTTGGAGGTCTTCTAGTCCAACCCTCTACTTAAGCAGTAGATCCTATAGCATTTCAGACAAATGGTTGTCCAATCTCTTCTTAGAAGCCTCCAGTGATGGAGCATCCACAACTGATTAATTGTTCTGTCAATTAATACCCAATTCCAGCAACCGTTCTTCATATGTTCACTGTACATTTTACACTTCAGGCTCCAGTTCTCTAACCATCTTTGTTGCTCTTCTCTGCACTGTTTTCAGACTCTCAACATCTTTGGTGCATTGTGGTGACCAAAACTGGATGCAGTTCAAGTGTGGTATTCCCAAGGCTTTATAAAGTGGCACCAATACTTTTATGTGATCTTTAGTCTGTCCTTCTCTTAATGCAATTAATGTTAACACAGTTCAAATCTATTAGGTTTGGAACGTGTTCTTCATTGCTAGCACAATTTGAGTCACCAAGCATCTAGTGAGCATCCAGTAACTGTATATGTAATATGTTACAGTTCATATAGTCCCATCATATTCTTAGCATGTTCTTGTATCGAATATTCAAGGGCAGCATTTCCCATAGTATAATCAGTTTTCAGGTTATTATAGTTCAGTGATGGCGAACCTTTTTGGCACCAAGTGCCTCAACTGGAACCCGCATGCATGTCTATGGCCGGAGCACTAGAAGTCCGAAGACCAGCTGGCCAGCATGCACATCAGTGGTGGGATTCAGCCAGCTCGCACCTATCCGGGAGAACCGGTTGTTAACTTTCTAAGCAGCTGGGAGAACAGGTTGTTGGAAGAAATCTCCTTTTGCTTTTTTACACTTTACAGGACTAATCCTGTAAGGAAGGCAGGAAGAAACATTCTGGTGTTGCTTCTAGCCTAATCTTTATTGCCCTGCTTACAGAA